ATGTAAAATAGATTGAAACACAATTTGTCTACCTGTTACTAGTAGGGTTCAGCTACTACTTTGTATGGGTCTCTCTTTTATCTTCGTTCATTAGTTTTGACATAAGTGGTATTTCTATATATATATATATATATATATGTATATGTTACGATCTTGAACAATCAACAGGAATTCTACTCCTCGTGGGCGGAGAAGCACAGGATCCGCATCTGGATTTTTGTTCAGGTTGGAGGAACGGGCTGAAAAACGCAAGGAGGTTGGTTGCCCATACTCGTCTCTGCTAAAAAAAGTTCTTTTTTTCTACTAAAGCATGTTCGTTTTCCCGGACCCCCGTCATTTATATTCGTTTCATGGTTTTGCTGTCAGTTCTACGTGAAACTAGAAGAGAAGATCATTGCAGAGGAAATCGAGAAGAGCAACTTGCAAGCAAAATCAAAGGTTTTTCCTTCTTCAAAATCTTGAAAAAAGAACTTAGATTGATGGGTTATGCGGTGGTAAAATTCTGTAATTTTGTCGAATGGCTCGTGCAGGAGAATCAGGAAGCAGAGATAAAAAAGCTGAGGACGAGCTTGACGTTCAAGGCTATTCCTATGCCGAGTTTCTACAAAGAACCCCCACCAAAGGTTGATTTGAAGAAGGTTCGTCTTCGTTATTTCTTCCTGAACATCTCGATCCCTCACCTCGAATCAAAGATTGTACAAGAAAGAATCTTTCAAGTTTCACCAAGAATCTGCTGAGTAACAGATGATAATATAAGCTTCGACATGGTTATGAACTGTTGCAGATACCGACTACTCGTCCAGTTTCTCCTAAACTTGGACGCAAAAAGGGTAACAAGGATGCAACAGGAGGTGATTCTAGTCCTCGCCCGAGCCGTGAGAACGTTTGTTCCACAAAAGTGACACCGAAACCAAACGATTCATCTGTTTTGAAGAAACCCGTCACGAGATCTCAGCCAAAGCTTCAAACCCGAGAAAGTTCAGCGAAAACCGAGAAGCTAGTGAAGCGAAAACCGAACAAAACCCTTCTGAGCAAGCAAGCCAAGGACGAAGAAGAAGAAGAAGCAAAGAAAGCAGAAGAACATCAGAAACTAGAATCTGAAATCCCTGAAGAAGAAACAGCAGAGACAACTAAAGAAGAGCTGAACGGTTCTTCCATTGTTCCGGAAGCAGAGGATTCTTCTCTTAGGAACTCTAACGAGGGCGAGAAACCGAGTTCGAACGTCCTAATATCCGAGATTATGCCGGCTGAAGTTGTGGTCGGAGGATGAAGAAGAACTGAAGGGTTAAACGAGTTTCTTGCTACACAAGTAAAAAACGAAAAATGGTCAGTGCTTGTTTCTGTGTAAAGAAGAGTCTTTTGCTTATGCTTAATGCTTCTGTATTTTATTTCTACACTTGTGAATTCGGCTATGTCCTTGCCTTATGTGAGCCTTTTCTTTAATCCTTTTGTTTTGGAAAATCAGCAAAACATACTATTTTTAATCCATGTTGTTTATACTTTATACGTGAATGTAAATAAAACGTATGGCCAGTCGAATATATTATGGTATGACGGATCATTATCTGAGCTTCTTATGGTATCCGAATTTGTAATCGAATATCTCTAATACTCTAACATGTAAATGTAAATAATGTAATATAATTGCAGTAAGGTTATTTTTCATGGTGGACAATATAAGTATTTAAAAAAAATGAGAAGAAGGAAGATGTGATAAATATTTAAAAAAATAATGGTATATATAATATTTACAAAATATCACGAATATTTTTAATCTTTTTTTTTAAATATATATGAATATCCCGACACAGTAATAATGAAATCTGAATCCGTCTTCATGGATATTTCTGATTCAAAACCTGATCTCGTCTCGTTGTTATTTGGCTAGAATCTAGATACATGATTTTCGGACAACGGATACATAATAATCGAGTATTATCCAACAGTTGGTGGCTCAGTGGTTAAGACGTGACAAAGTCATTTTTAAGGTTCTGAGTTCGATTCCACTAGTGGGGATTGATATAATTTTTGGATCAAAATTGTCTATATACAAAGGTTGGTCCCGGGTCTAGGGTGGATATAGTCGGGCTGAAGACCTGCGAAACCATCCTGCTTATAAAAAAAAAAAACGAGTATTTTGGACCTTCTAATTTTATTTACAGATAATAGTGTTATATGTTGTGACTAGGCAATAAAATCGGTTGCATAAATTGAATTAGTTAACAAGTTAATCAGTTAACTTGAAATAAATTGGCATTGATTATTGTCATAACGCATTCAATTATTGGAGGAACTTTTACATGTGCTTGTACTTTTTTTTTTACCGAATGTTAAACGTCATTGATCAGACAAAAAATATAGCACTGTGTCCAGAAAAATAATAATGGAAATTAGAAACATGAATACGAATTTTATTATTTTAGGGTGAAGGAAAGACCAAATGTTTGTATATATGCACATATGACATATATGTGTGTGTGTGCAAGTGGACATACAACTACAATATGTATGTTTAGAAAAAAATGCAATGTGAAATTATGTATGCCATTTTGTATGGTGTGAACTACAAAATATTCGCTTAAAAGAAAATAAATTATTATGTGGGGAAAGCAATATGTATTTGAGAAAAAGCTCACGTGAATATTAATATTATTATTTAAACATTTAATTGTCCCTGGGCCCACCGACTATTAATGTTCGAACAAAATCAACATTTATGAGACAAATTGGAATAATATTTTATAGGGAAAATCCAAAAAAAAATCGTACCAACAAAAATTTAAAGAACTTTAAATTTAAGAAAGACAACTTTTTTTTTATCACACTGATATTTTTTATTGTATTTTTACACTAGAAAAATTTAAAAGAGCTTTAGAAAAATGTGGTGTGGTACTTATTTGGCGGGCAAAAAATGTGTAAAAAAATAAATTAATTTCCAAAACTGATTCTGCCGCCAAATATGTATCACACTACGCGTAAAAACAAATTAAAAATTTTAAAATTTTAATCATATACACATATATACATACATACAAACACTGAAACACACACACATATATTATATACACACATATTTATAGAACAAATAATAATGTATATTACAATGTTTATTATAGAAATAACAATATATATATATATATATATATATATATATTTGTTTCCTCCAACTTTGCACCCAAAGAACAGATCTTCAAAATCTATTATATTATCCATATATGTGCCAAAAAAATTACAATAGAACATGCCAAAGCTTAAAAAACGCATAAAAAATAAAATCATTTACATATTCAATCTTTTTTTTATTATTATCACCCGTTTACAGAAATTGAATTCCTCATTTTCACGCAGTAAATTTTTTCTGTTTTTATTTTTCTTGCCCGTTTGAATTTTTTTTATTTTATTGACAAGAGGTGAATAGTGAATCCTGGCCAACGGATTCCAGCATTCGACATGCTACTTCCATCAGCTTAACTGTCCAAAATATAAAGGAAAGTGTTATATCATTGCTTTACAAATCTTTAATAAATATTTTAAATGCAATGTATCTTAAAGGGATTTCATGGATGTAAAACTCAGTAGCAATTTAACAATTTCATTATAAATTATTCATACATACACCACATGTTGAAAGATGTAAGTATGTAATCGCTTTTGATGAAATTGCAAAAGAATAATAATAAATAGATATTTTGCCTAACAGTTTAATCTATTTCCTAAATATAAATTACAGTGCTATAAGCCTATAACGCCGCAGTTTCATTACAAAGTACTCGTAAATATTTCAAATGTACCGTATCATAACAAAATGTATTTCTATAAAAGGGTTCAATGAATTTACAAAAAAAAAAACCATGAGTAAATAGTTTTTGTACGAAAACTTTGATGTATCCCAATCTCATTATAAACTACTCCTAAATATTTTGAATTGAACAATTGTATAACCAAATCGAGCTCAACCGGTCAAAATTTAGTTCGGTTTTGAGCCGGTTTGACTAATATCCGCTGAAATCTGCTCTGAACCCAAATCGAAAATTTCTCAAATTCAAGTAATCATTTGTGTTATCAAACCAAACCGGATAAAATTCGAACTCAACCAAACAGAATTTAATTCGGTCCTAAACCGGTTTGATTAATATATTGACCGAAAATTGATCTGAACTGGATCCAATTGGACTATAACTCAAACTAAACCTAATCAAACCAAACATTGCTACCTTGTATCTCCCCAAACCAACAAGACTAATCACTCCCACCGTGCGTGTACGTATGTATGTATGTACGTATATATATATATGTGCGTATGTATGTATGTATGTATGTATGTATGTATGAAATTAAAAAAATTAACCATAAAAAGGAGGGTAAAAGATGACATTATTACCTCTCCTGGGTTTAGCAGCTTTCTTCACGACCCCAGCACCGGCGGGTTTCTTCGCCGGCGTCTCCTCCTCCGGGAACAAAACTCCGTCGATCCCCTGAACAGAAATCCGACCGTCGGTGTAAATGTCTGGATCGAACAAGTATGCCGACCCATCTCCATGTCCGAACTTCACCGACCCATCAGCTTCCTCGGCCATGACCCGATGAGGAAATCTCAGCGTTTCGTACTTCACCTTCCCGAATCTCCTCACGGCGTTGTACATGCTCTCCTCCGTCTGATACTCCGTTATGATGTGGTAATACACGATCTGCTCCGGCGAGCCCGGTTCGCTCAGCTGCTCCGTCGTCAGCTTCGCCATGGCTTCATCATTCGGGGCAAGAACCGTCAGCACATAACCTTCCGACACCAACCGACCCATCTCCGTCGCTAGCGAGGTCAGATTCACGAGGATATCGGCCATTTCATTGTACCCGCCGTAATGCAGGAGCGTCTGGATGAAATCCTTCACCTGGGCTTCGCCATTGAAGTGGTGGTGAGGTCCTCCGGGTCCCGGAGCCGGCGCCGGAGCTAGAGAAGGTCCCGGTGCCATGGCGTCGTAGATCGGAAGCACCGGCGGAGCTCCAGCAGGGACCGGAGGAGCCGGTTTCTTTAGGCGGTGGGTTCTCGGGTCAACCTCCGGAGCTCCGGTGGGTAATACGGCGGAGATGGACCGGAGACTTCGCCGGCGGTTGAAGTCCTCTTGGACTGAGCGAGGGATTAGAAGCTTCTGGATCCCGTGGATGATACCGTCGGGTCGGATCACGTCGTCGGGTCGGATAATCTCGGCGGAATCAATCATTTTCCTCCGATTTGGGCCGTCGAATTGGATCAGATTCACGTGATCGTTGCAGAGAGTGCGGTGTTTGGCGGAAGAGGAATCATCGCGGGGCCATTGATGAGACTCGATTCGTTTGGGGACAATGTGGAACATCAAGAGGGTTTGTAAGGATCTGAGATTCCTGGGTTCGAGCAAGAAAGCTCTGAATTCAGGGTCGAGCTCTCGCTCCAAAGCTTCGTTCCTAGGAGCGAAGACGGTGATGTTGTGTTTCCCGACAGCATCTTCGAGTGTCTGGAGAAGAAGAGCTTTCTCGATGAGCTCGGAGAATTCTGTGTAGTGGGAATCGAGGAGGGCGACGAGTACGGAATTGGAGTTGATCTGAACCGACCCGGAAGATGAAGAAGAGGAAGCGGAAATGGGTTTTTCTGAGAACGCAACGGCAATGGAGGTGATGAAGAGGAAGAACAATAGGAGCTTGAAGACGCCACAGAAAGGAGAATCCATGGCGGTCGGGGAGAGAGAGAGAGAGAGGGGGCAGGGAGAGACGAAGAAGGAAACGGAGTGTCGGCAAACTGAAGAAATGTTTTTGATGTGAAGTTTCTTCTGCTTCTCTATTTCTTTAAAATGATTTGTTTTTTGGTGGGTGGAATTTTCGTTTCTATTTATTTATTTTTTTGTCAGTTCAATCATATTCGGGTTATTGCTAATTAATTTCCAGTGGGACCAACGCTTAAACCAAATGGCGTGATTATGTATTTTTTTTTATAGTTTGTAAAATTATTATACTCGTACTAAGACAGTTATTATGGTTAATAACTGAACAACTTGTAGCCATGTTAAAATTTACTATTCTTTCAGTAATTATTATTAAAAGTTATTCAACTTGTACTAAAAAATATTATTCAACTTGATTAGACATACGAACTAATCATTCAGTAAAAATTTTAAAAGTAATATATATTTTTAGGGATATTTGATAATGGCGTTCTACCATACAATAAAATTGAATTTTTAATTAAAATAATAAATTTGACGTTTTTTTTGTACCGGACACAAAACTTTTTTATGCTTCCACTTTTACCCCTTCCCCTTTATTCTACAATATATAAATAGTAAGTGTGGCAACCACCAATCATGTTGTATTATTTGTGTATAACCGAATAAATAGTAAAGGGCGACCATTTCTGGAGTATTCGATTTTATTAAAGGAGTAATCATTTAAAAAAAACGTTCCATTTACATTCAGTTATCTATTTTAAAAGATCACCAATCAATTTTACATTAATTTCAATTGCAATATAATTATATATTATCTAATTAGATTGATGATTTTTTCTTATCTAAACTGGTTTTGTAACATAATTTACCCTCCATTTATACCAAAAAATAATTTACCCTCTTTATCAAAATAAAAATAAAAATTACCCTCCATTCGCTTAGAGTTTCTCCGTACGTACGTTGCAAGTCTTTCACCAATCACCTAGAAATAGGGTACATTGGCATTGTCGGTGTATATAAATTATGACAATATATTTTATGAATTTCAATCTTTATAATTAATTATAAGTCGGTATTTAAAGTGTAGTTGAGACATTATTTCCCATTTAAAGATTTGCAGATCCACTAATGTTTATAATAATACATCTCAAAACATCTCGATGTCCCACGTCCACATAATTTATTATCGTATACTTAATAATAAAATTTTGATTATTACGATGTCTCATTTAAGAGTAACCATTTTGGTTATTAATCGAATAATTAGAATCGAATCAAACCGAATAAAATATAATCGCACCCGAATCGAATTCTATAATGATTATGATTTTTTTAAATCTAAAAAACCGAAATCGAACCAAACCGACTAAGAAACTAATTGAAAAACTGATAATTTCGTTGAAAAAAATGATTTCGAACCGAATCGAACCAAAATTTATATAAAAACCGGATGCTTATAATTTTTCTACAACCGAAATAATCAAATCCGAATATAATAGAAATAGTATTTAAAATAGAGGTACGACAATATAGTAGAAGAAAATAAATGAGACCCAAAATGATAAATCCAACCAAAATATAAATCCAAAGCATAATTATTTATCCGACCAAAGATAAATAAGGTCCAACAAGAGATTGGATCCAAGGCCTAATTAAGAAAACAGAGAAAAGAATAAAAAAGGCCGATTAATGGCCAGAGGTTTGAGTTTGAACGAGAGATCTGTCCGCACCGGTCAAGTTGTACAAATTTGATCGGTTATGTTTAATTCGGTTCAATCAAACCAAATCAAAATCTTTAATAAAATTCTAAAATTATATTTACTTTTTATTTACAAAATTTCTGCTTTTAGACATCTTGATAATTGAATATTTTTTTAGATACCCAAAATTTAATATATATATATATATAAAAGCAAACAATATCAAAACATTTATGTATTGTATTTACATAGATACCAATTTACAGGTAACATTAAGGGGAAAAAAAGGAAGAAAAGTTTGACCATCCGACTACTTGCCTAGATTCTTGAATCACCGAAGATCAGGAAAAAAAAAAAAGAAAGAAAAAAGAAATTCAAAGTTTGGTGAGATCAGAGATGGTTGGTGTTTATATCATATGATTCCTTTGTACAAAAACATGCCTGTTGAGAGGCATATTAATGATCATGTGATTCGTGACCATGATTGATGCTGTTGCTGCCTCTCGAATGTCTCCGGCGATACTCATCGTTGTTCCCCGACGGCTCCACCACGTCCGCCGCGAATCTCACCTTCTTCTTCATCGTCATGCATTTCTGCGATCCTGAAATCCAGACCAATATATTCTTCATTTGTTTGTCAGATTAGATCAAGAACAATCAATCAAACAAAAAAAAAACGAACGACAAATTCAAATTTCCCGGAAGATTATATTTCCGTTCGGAATTCGAATTCGATCTTTACAAAAAAAAAACGACAAATCAAAATTAAGGAAGAATTCTCGCCGTACGGAGTTCGAATTCGATCTTATCCATGAAATCAGAGAGGAGACGTTTGTGAAACTGAGTCGCGAGGAACACCACGCTTCCGGAGACAGCGAAGACCGCCATGAACCCTAGAGGGCTCTCCATCTGTGATCTTCTTTTTTTTCCCTGCAATATTTTTTTATCCGATATCTTTTCTGCAATTTCAAAATCTCAAAAACCAATTTTGTTCTCTTCCTCTACCGGCTAAAAGATCGAGTAGAAGAAATGGGAGGACATAATCCGAGAATCGAGAAACAGAAGAAGAAAAGCTGAGAAGAAGGGAATCATTGTCAATCCCGATGAGATGAGAACAAGAAAAGAAAGAAGAAGAAGAAGAAGAAGAAGAAGAAGAAGAAGAAGAAAGACGTTACATATTACTGTTCTTTTCTTTCGTGGTTGGTGAAATTTATTTTAAACGAAAGGGGGGAGAGAGAGAGAGAAAGAAGAAGAAGGTTTTATTTTTGGAAAATGGGCGGTGGATTTCGTGTTCAATTAATTTTAGATTGATATAATTAGTAGTTAAAATCTAGAATTCATAATTTTTTTAGATTTTTACAGATTTGTTTGCTTTTTAATTTGACGGAATTGACACCACATTTCTCTTTATATATACACATCTTTCTCTTTATATATATATATAATATAATAAGATGTTTTTTTCTCTTTAAGAAAACTCTCTCGGTGAATAATCCGATGATGTGAATGTTGGTTTAGTGTTCTATGATGTACTGTTTATGAGTTTTCTAATAAAATTTTGTATTAAAGTAAATCTGAATTACCAATGAATATTAGACTACGTTTTTTTTATGGATAAGATTATGAAAAATAAAAAAAAATGAAATCGAGTAAAACATAAAAGTAAAATGATATGATGTTAAAAATACAAGTATTTATGTAGAAGGATATGTATCATCATTTTTTGTCCAAAAAAGATAGGACGGGATAAGAACTAAGAAGTTAACCATATATGTACATTTACTATCATAAAGATAATTTTAGGTATGGTCAGGTTGTTCCAACAACCTTGGCATGTGCGCGAATGTTTTTTTTTTCTTTCTTTTTTGTGTTGCTTCCAATCTTATCATATTTGAATATGAAAATTAAAAGGAAAATTATCTAGAGGTTACAAAAAAAATGGTACATATTATTATTTGTCTTAGAATAACCAACCTACCGGTTTTATTATACTATGACAAATTGAGATTTAAATTTAAATAATTTTATTAGGATGTATTTACCAAAAAAAAAAAAAGGATGTAAACGGACTAATGATTCGTTGAGTATGAGCTCCAATTAGCCCTAAATCTAATATTTTTCTTTACAATTCGGTCCGGTTCAAGATTAAATCGGGTTGGAAATCCTAAACCAAATAAAATTAGGTACGAGGTTCGACCGTACCGAACCAGAACAACGAACCATTTACGAGACCAGTAATAACATAACATCCATTGTAGAAAATGTCTTGTTCCAATACAAAAGGGGGAGAAGGAAGTGGTTCACCTTGTTATGTGTTGATCTTAGTCATCAAACCGGAAGATGACGCCATTGTTCTTGACGAAGTCATGCGTTGTATGATCCACAACCTGCGCAAAATCTCTGCATTATGATTCTCCAGCGGGGAAAGTATGTGTTTTTGTTTCTAAAACTTTCCAATGATTTGGTGCTTCCCTCAAAAACTCAACAAAAAAACAGTATTAGACTCTGTTTAGAAGCTTGATTAGTGATTTGATCATGTTCATGGCATCTCACAAATGGGCAATGGCCGAAACAAGAAGGCGAATAAGAGCAAGTGGAAGACGAGGGCATTATATTTCGAGGTAGAAGAAGCTTTTGAGCTTTTACTTACATTAGTGTTGGTGAGCTCTAAGTTGTAGAAGGCCATCGAATCATCTTTAAACAGCGGTCCGGCATGCCACGTCCCACGATTGAGTTTGAGGAACTTCTGGCCCGAGACTCTGAAAACACGGACGTCTTCAACTGCAGGAGGGACGTAGAAGTGACCGCAGGGTGACCGTACTGCATCGGGGTTTGTCCCCGTCTGGTCATCCTCGACAATGGACGGCTTGGAAATTCCAAGATACCAGGCGTGACCGCCCGCTGATCCAAGACACTGAGTCACGCTCGCGTGATGAGTGATTTTGGAGAACCGAAATGGTCGGTCTTTGAGGTGCATGATGTAGAACCTGTCAAATTGCGGAAGAGTGTATCCACAGGATCATTAGCAAGAACACAATCTGAAAGGCACAGCATGCGATCGATGATGATACCAGAGTTGCACGAATTGTTCAGACTGAAATTAAATCAGTGATACATAATTTCGATAACTCATCTGATTGACCAAAATAGAAACAATAGATAGAATCACACAGATGATTGGCAAATGCTGAAACCAAAATGACGAAGAATTCCAACAATATCACAGAAATTAACAAAGAATTCAACAGAAGAGACAAAGGATAATACACTCCGAAATGATGAAAACTGAGAAACTACAGAGTAATCAGACTGAAAATTCAGTGAAATCGCCATACAGCAAACTATTTCAGATGAATCGGAGCTTAAAACAGAGGGTATGAACAATCCGACAGAGATTTTTGCCCCAATTTTTATCCCCAATAGAAAATACGCTTAAAAATGAAGAAAAGGATTCCGTCAAGCAATCAAACGTAGAAAATTCCGACAGTACCGAGGGGTTCCTCTGCTGAGATCTAATTGAGCGTCGGTGGGACCGAATTCATCGCCATCAGAAGAAGCTTCGATCACCTGTCCATAATCATGGAAGCTTTCAGGAGTAGCTTCAATCGGAATCAGATTCACTTCCGCCGGAGATTCGCCGGAGAGTGCCATTCCAACGTCTCCGGATGAAAAAGAGAGAGAGAGAGAGAGAGATGATAATATAACCGAGAAAACTAGAAAGTAGAAACCGAACGGCAACGGATGACGGACACGAGAGAGCGATTCTCTGCCTTTAACGAAGATGAGACAATGGATTACACGTGACATGCACGTGTTCATATGGTATGAAACTATGAACCCAAATTCTTCTTCCAGATTAACGTATGAATATTATATAATAATATGTAAATCAGAAAATATTAAATTAAGAAATTATGAATTTTTACAATATCGAATTGAACATAAGCTATAGAAAAGGATTATTGGAAAACCAACAAGAAGATCATCGGATAAAGCTCCCAACAAAATCAATGAAACACGAAAACCAAAAATCGGAACGAACTCATTGACCGAAGAATAGTTTCGAATAATTCAGAGAATTAGAAGAATTGCAATAATGAAAGGAAGTTGGGGGGTTTGAGTGGAATGAAGAAAAGTATAGGGATTAATACGTAATACTATATAAGTACAGGGGCTTTCCTTGTATTTCTTCGATTTTATGTTTATATGTACAAGCGCCTCCGCCTCCCTCCGCCTCCATCATATCAGTGTGTCTGGCTGACGAGAAAAATCTGAGAAGACGCGAGAAAATGAGCGGAGCCGGGAAGAAAATTGTGGATGTCGCCTTCAAGGCCTCGAGGACCATCGATTGGGATGGAATGGCGAAGCTTCTAGTCTCCGATGAGGCTCGCAAAGAGTTCTCCAACCTCCGTCGTGCTTTCGACGAGGTTAACTCCCAGCTCCAGACCAAGTTCAGTCAGGTCTCTCTCCCCCCATCTCTCCATTCCGTTCTTTATATTATATTTGGAATCCCATCGTGCCCGATTTCGTGAAATTTGGCTAGATCTTCGAAAATTTGATATTAGGGTTTCTGAGTTTTGGTGGATCGGGGAATCTCACGTCTTCAGATTTGGATTCACTCAGTGATGGATCGGTACCGGTTATTGTGTGCGTTCGCTCTTGTTGGATTTGAAAAGTTTTCAGGAATCGTTTATTGGGTTTTATCCTTATCAATTGCTTATGTGGAGAGATGCATCATTTCCCAAATGATAAAAGTGTTAAAACCATATGAGACTGTTGGACTAGTTGATCTAGAAAGAGGAAATTTGATGAGGGTCTATTTTGGGGAGACGGATTCTGATCTGAGAACAGTGAGTTTTTGTATGCTATGTTTTTCCTCCACATTTAGATTCTTGATGTGAATCTTTTACGTTTTATGTTTCATGATTCATCTAGTTCTCGTTTTGTGAACGGTGATTTATGAGGTAACTGAACTTTGGTGTGTGCAGGAACCTGAACCTATTGACTGGGATTTCTATAGAAAAGGAATTGGATCTCGCATAGTAGCCATGTACAAGGAAGCTTATGAAAGTAAGTTTCTGCCGTTCTTCAGCGTTGATGTAGATTAGATGCATTATCCGTCGATAACCTTGTTATATTTTGTGGCCTCTGATGTTACCGCTATTGTAATTATCATCTCTGTCGTAGTTGTCATGGCTATTTACACGGTTTTCTATTCCTTTCCACGAGTTTATGCTCGATAATCGAGTGAAAATCTTTGATTTGTTTTTCTCTGTGAATTTTTCTTACATGATCGATCAGTATAAACATCAACAACTCTGAATTGGATCATAATTCTTTCTCTTTGGGCGGTATATACAGAGGAAATGTCTCACTAACTAAGTGTCATCTGTTACCTTTATTTCCCCACGGCTTCAGGCATCGAGATCCCCAAGTACGTGGACACTGTAACTCCAGAATACAAGCCAAAGTTTGATGCTTTGGTGAGCAATGACGCTACAGAAACCGGTTTCTTATGATATGCAACCTTGTTTTTTCAATTTATTGTCAACAAGCTCTTCCATCAACATGTTGTGATTTTCATTTCATGTTTTATGGTACGTGTAGTTGGTGGAACTGAAAGAAGCAGAGCAGAAATCCCTCAAGGAGTCTGAAAGGCTGGAGAAAGAAATAGCCGACGTCCAAGAGTTGAAGGTTGATAAGAAGAAATCTCGATATGATATCTGATTCATTAATATATGATCCTAACAATCTTCATGATGTTAACAGCAAAAGCTCAGCACCATGACTGCGGACGAATACTTTGCGAAGCATCCGGAACTCAAGAAGAAGTTTGACGATGAAATCCGCAACGATTACTGGGGATACTGATCATATATCTCCAGTTCGAGGTTCCTTTAATCTCCTCCAAAGACTCCTGCATCAAGAATTCGTTTCTCTTTATTTCTGATTCCGCGGCTCTACCGTAATAAGAATCATCATCAATAACCGAGTGAATGCGTCAGACACTGGATTGAGAGCGCCGATGTGAGGGCTTGACAGTTTCATTTGGGTATATGCACTTTTCTTGCCCCAAATTGTTCCAATCAACAAATTTTCTCAAATCCTTTCTTTCTGCATGATTTCAAAGGATCTCATCAAAGAATTTGCAATGTGTATTCTTTAGGCTTGAATCATTCATGCCCAGTGTGTCTACTCATACGGGTAGATGATGATAGGGGTCGAATATATATATACATTCTTAACGCCTGCAGACATCTGAGTTTCCGTTTACATAAAAGTTGTATAGCCTCCCAAAATGTTAAAAACACTTGGTGGGATGGTGATCAACTTGAGAGAACACTGGAGCTTCTGATTCTCAATCAACGTTCCAAAACGAAGCACTCAAAGGAAAGGCGGTGGTGTTGCCCATCGAACTCTCTTTTACGCCAAGCCAAAATGTTGTTCTTCTTTGCTGGACAAATGTAATTGAAGCAATTAATACAGCAGAATAAATATTTTTAATTAATGAAAATAGAAAATAACTTAATCCAATATATAAAATGGAATGATTAAAATTTTAACCCCCCCCCCCCCCAAAAAAAAAAATAAAAAAAAATAAACGACACTAACTTTCGTGATAACATTTTATTTCAGTCAGTGGATAGATACATGGAATATATCTGTCGTTTTCGACCATAACTATAGTTTAGGACTTAACTGGTTCAATACTGAAAGCGAGTGTCTAAAACTAAGTCAGTATCCATCTGTGTTTACTTCCTTCTTTTTTTCGTTGCTTCAACAAAACGACAAGCTTGAAAAGAAAACTGAAATGGTTTCAGGCTCTTCTGCAGAATAAATATTAAATAACACCCAGCAAGCAACAGGGAAGAGGTGCGCATTTCTTTCTTAGATTCGAGATATTATGCATCAGAAAGCAGATCCACTTCCTTTGGATTTCCCGAGCATCACGTCCTTAGCCTCGTTGATTTTAGAGGCGAGGAAATGGCTGCCGCCCGCATCGGGGTGGTTTGCAACCATTACTTTTCTGTGTGCTTCTTTCACTTTATCCGCTGTTGCGCTCTCCCTGTCACAATCCCACAGGTTCAATATTGATACCGATGATGTTACAGATCGAAAAATGTAATAAAGCATAGTTCCCTCCATGCTATGGACGGATTCTGTACTCTCAGCGATCTTGATGTCATATTCGAGTGTATCTTCAGACACGGAAAAAGGCAAAGCTGGACTACGAACAAATGTAACCCAAAAACTGCTTTGAGAAAGATGGAATAAATCGGAGAAAAGAGATGCAAACAAACAAATGATATCATGAGGATGACAATCAGTTTATTGGACACAGTTATCGGTACTTTCATCGACCAAGAATCGAGCGATCTAATCCAAACTATGCTAAGAAAGTTTAGGGAGCTTTATTTATGGCACTAGGAATCTAGTTATGTGTCATACTTTCAAGGCCAATGTTAGGAAAACATCACACAAATCCTGCATTTCTTGGAAGTCGGAATTTAGTTAGGACTGTGAATGCTAACCTTTTCGACAGATTTAATCACTTCAAATCCTATGGTTTCCAATTGCAATTTATTAAATGGGACTGGAGAAGTTGGATACCTGATTGATTTATTGAAAAACAAGGAGAGAAACATGAAATTGCGCTCATTCTGAATGTTTTCCTTTCCACTAGACGAATGATCAATCAAGGTTGCATGTTTTTTCAGTTCCTTCTCAATACTCTAACACAACCTTGAGCTTAAGCAATAATTTAAAGCTAGCTTTTCACCAAAACTCATCTACAGTTTTATCCCAAAAAAAGTATATCCAATTCATGATCTACTATTATGCAACAAAAGATTTGCATTATGATGTCAATGAACAAGAAGTAAACCAAACACCAAACATTAAAAAAGCACATAACCTTTACCTGATGCCAAGAATAAGAGCGGCTTCCCTTCTTGTCATTGTAGGCTGGAATCCACCGTCATAGAATTTCCTCATTTTGGGCACCGCTGGTCGTGCTTTGAATGCTTGCCAAGCTTGTATCCCATATCTACCAGCAAGGGCAGTAGCAGCAACTGCAAGCCCAGCGAAAAATGGTGTGGCCTGATGTAGAAATTTATACTTAATTCAAGATCATTACGCATACTAATATGCATCTGAATGCTTGCACAAATTCTTTCAGAATTTAACAGCTAGCTTTTACAACAATGCTACCCCAAAGAATGGTGAGAGGAACTGGCAGTACCACTATACATTTAACGGCATAAACTCACCTCATTGTGTTTCAACGTAACAACAAGTTCCAATCATTGTTTTCGAAATTTTCAAGAGATACAGTAGCTAAAATGGTCCATCAAATTAGTACAACTGCTTTAAAGAAACAATGGCTTCCAAAAAAGAAAGATAAAAGGGAAGACTGATACTATAAAAAGGCAGGGCACTGTCAGAGAGCATGCTACAATGCATTGCCATTAGAGGTTCAAACACTTGATCATCCCATATTCAATAGAAAGGGAAACTGATGCACATGAGTTCAGGAGAAAACAACAAAACGAGACCTATTTGCAATCAGTTTAAACTTTCAAATCAGGGATCGCTTCTACAAATGTTCAACTCAACTCAACAGCAGACATTACAATATTTTATGAACCTTGATTTCCTAATATTCAAAGAAAAGATTCAGGACGGTTTTCATCTACTCTCGATGATAACTAATAGACGCATCTGATAAATTTTGAAACAGAAACAGGAGAGCCAACAGTGTTGGTTAATTACAACAATGACAAAACGATCATTGAGGTTAATTACCCCTGTTCTCGTGATCTAAAAAGACATAATTTGGAAACCTAATTTAAATGCACAGATTCCAAATATAAGAACAAAACCGATGCAAAAACACGACTTCAGCACGCCATGAGCTCTGAAAACTCCATAAGCCACAAAAGATACGACGAACAAATATAATCCTAGATAACCCACGAAGCTTGCTTAACTAACAATGGATTCTAGAAGAGCAAACTGTTCTTCTGGATGCCACAATTGCATACATCATTGGACGAACATTGTTTGTGCGTATATCAGTAAAAGTGATTGGATTTTGCGAGATACGCGAAGGACTAATACGATTGTGTCGGAGGACAGATAACCCTTAATTCTACACTCGAATCGTATGGAAATGAAAACCCCAAGCAGAAATCCAAATTGAACGGGCAAAACCAGGAGTGAAACTCGTGGAAAAAAACCCTAAATTCATCCAGAAACCGAAGAAAAGCATGGTGTTCAGGATTACCATTCACAAATCTGGGATTCTGGGTTCAATCGACGAATCTCGGACGGCGTTCGCACGCTTTACGGAGTGTTCGTCTTGCCCCAAGCGATCGATGGTAGGCCGATCGGATTCTCGACGCGTCACTGTCGCCGTCGAAGCTCCACGCGATGCTTAGTTAAATGGGAATGGGACGAAAACCGGGAAATGGCATACAAAAAACCAAAACCGGCATTAAATCATTCTCATCATATAAATAATACCCACATTATTACCCATAAAGTTACATCAATAAGAATATAGATTTAATAGACAGAAAACATAATCATATATAATATATTATTCATTAATGTAAATATTAAAATATTAAAAACAAACCAAATTTTAATAATACGATAATTTTCTCTTATTATAAGGTCCGACGATAAATGAGAAAAAAACGAGTGTTGAGGTTAAATTTTCAAAAATATATATGAAGCACGTGATGAAAGAATCCAAGAACCAAAGCGTGCAGGAAAATATTATAAGAATTTTTGCTCATATTTTAAAGCAAACCATCCAAAATGACGACCATTTATTGGTAAATATATATAATTGGATATTCATGTACTAATATAAATATATAGGTATTTGCAAATAAGTTGGTTTTCTCTCTCTTTTTATCGATTAAATAACGATCTAAAAAAACTAAGAAATATTTTTTTCTTTTTTTCTTTTATTAGGAACAACGTAATGTTAGTAGCGTAGATCCACTCGTCATAATATGTGCCAATAATATTGCGAGATCCAATGATTTTTTTTAAATTCTCGCTGCAGAAAAAGAAAAGAAAAAAAAATAAAAGAGAAACTTCTCGTTAAGTGGAATTATTCTTTTTGATTTTTGGTCTTTAGTTTCTTGGTTTATAGTTTTTAAAATTTTTAATAAATTTGAAAATCTAAAAAAGTGGATTTATAGTTTTTATTTGTTTTTTTCCAATGAAATATTCTGGGTTTTTTTTTAGAGAAAGCAAATATAATATTTTAGTGTTTTGAAAATACTATGGATGTGTCACTAAAACATCATATTTTGATCATATTTTTAGATCATGATGCCTCTTAATTAGTTAATCTTCCGAATCTTTCTCCCTCTATGATGTAGACGATGTTTGTTTCCTACTTTGATTTGAACATTTAAAAAAAATCAAAGACGACGAAAACAAATTAGCAAAATCATCATATTTGATTGCCAATATTAGGGGTGAAATCGAATCGAATAAGACAATTATAATCGAAATAAATTCGATATAAAAATTGAACGGTTATGATTTTTTAAATATTTTTACTACTAAAAAAAATCCAGAGGGAAATAAAATTGAACTGAACAAAGTTGATATAAAAACTCAATGATTATAATTTTGATAACTGAAATAATTGAACGTGAATACAATTGAACCCAAAAATGGCTACCCTAGCCAATATACCATGGTGAAATCAGATTTGAAAATAAAAGTATAGTTTTGCCATAAATGCATATATAAAACGAAATAGCTTTGTATATTTCCAATACAATTTTATTACCAAATTCAAGATGTGGTTGCTATTTATTATAGATTTGAATTTAATATTTTTTTAAAAAATATAACGAATTACTGCAAGAATATAAAGTATAAAAAATGTAAAATAAAAGATATAATGTTTTCGTAATTTTTAAAATACAAGTTTTGTCTCGCCGTCTTTAGAATGGCGGAGTCGTTGAACTTGTCGGACTTTACACACGTTGGAAACCACAATGAGGATAATGAAGTTTTCACTAAGACTGCTAAAACGTCTCAAAGACAAAAAATATTTTAATTAAAAATATAAAAATAAAAAATAATTATAATTTATAAATATTTATTTAAACATTATTAAAATAATTTTTGTCGGATTATAAATTTAGAAAATGTGAAAAGTCACAGACCAATGAAGTTTTTATATGAAAATAATAGTTCAATTTTATTGTCAAATTTACTATCGATTTTATTCCTAATTAAAATTACTACCTAATTTTGTTTCTAATTTTCCTATTTCAAAATTACGTTAATAATTTAATTTCAAAATTAGCGGAACTATTTCGTCGTTAATTTTGTCAAAAAATCATGTTATTAATTTAATTTTAAATTTATTTGCAAACAAACGAAAAATAACGAGTAACAATTATTATTGGTTCATTAAAAAAGAATGAGATGATCGCATTTTTTAAAAAAAAAAAAAAGAGAAAAGAATGAGATGATCGAATCCAAATCCGGTTTATTCCATAAAAAGTTAAACCCGGTTTCAACCGGTTTGGTATTAGTTTGTACCGACCGAACCAAACCAAAAAGGAAGAAACAAGGAGCAAGAATCCTGGAAAAACAAAATTAGCGGAACTATTTCGTCGTTAATTTTGTCAAAAAATCATGTTATTAATTTAATTTTAAATTTATTTGCAAACAAACGAAAAATAACGAGTAACAATTATTATTGGTTCATTAAAAAAGAATGAGATGATCGCATTTTTTAAAAAAAAAAAAAAGAGAAAAGAATGAGATGATCGAATCCAAATCCGGTTTATTCCATAAAAAGTTAAACCCGGTTTCAACCGGTTTGGTATTAGTTTGTACCGACCGAACCAAACCAAAAAGGAAGAAACAAGGAGCAAGAATCGTGAAAAAACAGTGGCAGCCGCCTGTGACAGTGACTTTTGTAAATGAATGTCTTATCCATTTCCTGTTTTGTCGGACCTTCAACCCACCTAATCTCCGGAGGGCAAAACAGTAAATATAATTTTCTTACTTCGTTTTCGTAAAAAGATTGTAATGGTAATGGATTATATAATATATCACCTTTGACGTAGAAATTTTATTTCGATTTGACATGACCATAATAAAAAAATTAATAATAACTTTCAAAATTCTTGGAGGAACAATTAATTGTATAAAAGTTTTTCAATTTTCTATATTCCGGTAGAAAATGTCAGAGAACAATTAATTAAAACAATCTAAAAATCACTAAAAAATCATCAACATTATTCTTGTGAAAGATTTTTTGGAAAATATATTTTTTAAATTACCAGAACACAAAATTATTCTTAAAACTTAATATTAAATTAACATCAGAACCTAAAAGAAATAGATACAATAATATTTTTTTCATTATAAAGAATTGTTTATTCAAATTTTAATAATGTTTGTAATTCTACTAGTTTTATTTATTATTTATCTGTTTCAACAAAAACGGTACTAGTTTTGTAATTTAAAATATATTGAAACACAATTTGTCTACCTGTTACTAGTAGCATTGTCATGCATTATAATTATATTTCAAATATGGAAATGTATTAAAAATCCACGAGCACATAGTTTTGTCCTTACTTCTCTAAAACACTGAATACAAATTCATATATTTTATATTTATTTTGGAAAGTATTCTTTTTTCGTAAACATATATATTTGATATATAAAAAAATAATTATTTCACATATTAATGATTCAAGTTAAAAAAAAAAAACAAAAACAACAAAAAGTCAAAACTTTCACAAACATCACACAAAAAGCCACAGTGGTGGAAATAGCCATTCAAGGAAATTAAAAAAAAAAATCTAAATTTAAAAATCCACTGACCATGCCAAAGGTGGTCACTTTTAGAGCCAATCCCTCTTGTCTCTCGTTGCTTTCTCTCTCCGGAGAGAAGTGAATCTAGGGTTTGAAACAGTGAATCTTTTGCTTCCACCAACAAAACCTGGTTCCTGGTAAGACAGAATCTTTCACTACTCTCTCTCCCTCCTATTCTCGTCAACTGGAGAGGGAACAGCCCATTTCTAGGGTTCTTCTTTTTCGGGGGAGAAAAATGAGTTATTGTCGTCCTTCCCCTGTTTCTTCTTCTCTTTCTTCTGCTTTCTCTTTCCGTGGGGTTTTGGTTTAACTATCTGCTGACACATTATTTTATTGCATAAAATGGATCTGGGTCTTCTTTTTCTATTACGAGGAGCATTTACATGGTCATATATATGTACACGTTTAGATATGTTATGTCTTTAGGGTGATGATGCTTTGGAATTGTTCTGTGTCCTGTTGGGTTCGAATTCTGTGCCACTTGTTCTATTTCAAATCGTTTTGATCGTCTGCGGGATTTCTAGTTTTGGTCAGTGGGGGGAGAAAATTGGGGGCAAAGAAGAGATTTTGATCAGAAAACATGTTCCATTTGCTCTATTTTTGTGATATGGAGGGTTTAGAAATTGCTTAGTTTTGTCTGTGTGGTTGATGAATTGCTGTGTTTTACTTGATTGTATGGTCGGATATGATACGTTGCTTTAGGGGATGATTGTTAAAAATTTGTCCTACTTGACATTTATTAGCATTTAAACCCTTTGCTGTGTACAAGATGTTGGCATGGTATAATGTGTAACATCATATTTACTTGCGAATTCTTGGCCGTGGAATGATGTTCTTGATCAAGAACTCTCAAGAATAGTCCGAAAGTCATAGCCTATGCAGACTAATGCTAGTGCTTTGTGATAGTGAATTGGGTTGTTTTTATCGAAAGTCACTGTTTTAATGGGAAAAAACCCGATTCGGAATCCTTTGTTGTCTAATTTGGCATTGCATTAACCAAAGTTACGGTTCTAGATCGTTATTACGCGAAAACAAATCAATATAGTAGATTCCATTTTTTGAATCTTTTCCCACTTTAGTTGAAATTAGTTGCTTATGTAGATTTTTCAGTTTTACATTCCATTTCTCTTGGGCCGTTCTTCTATCCAAGCTCAATGGCGAAGAATTGGTGGCCGTATGTCATCATTTTGATGATCCTGAACAGGGTTTGCCCGTTTTGTGCAGGCACTATATAAAATCTGGGCCCTTGCTTTAGAACAGTGTCTTGAACGCAATTTCTTAGTGGCATGGCAACCGAGAGTCCTGTCAGAATGCCCGGAAGCAGTGGAAAATGGCCAAATTCTGGAAGGGGTGATGTCCCTAACCGAAGTGGAAGTGCACCGCCGAGCATCGAGGGCTCCTTTCTGGCTGTGGATAATCTCTTATCACAACATGGCTCAGATTATAACATGAAACTGCCGGGTTTTCATGGTTCTTTTCAAAACCGTGGATTTGAGGAACCACTGACCAATGACCCTTCCTTTTTAGCTTATTACTCTTCGAAACTTCGCCTTAACCCTAGACTTTCTCCATGGCTTGGGAACCATGAAGGTAGAGTTAGAAGTAACTGGGGATTAACTAATGCTGATAGTCCCATTCATACGTCTCAAGGCGCACTTTCTACTCACAAGGAAATGGCCGAGGAAGAAAGCTGTCAACAGCAGTCTGTTCATAGTGTTTCAGATAGGACAAACGAGTTTGTCTCTGGATCGGACATGATTCCTTGTCCGGGTGGCAGCCATGGTTTGGCTGATTCCAGGCAGGTTCGGTTTCTCTTAGTTTTGCTTCTCATTTCCAGTAAAAAAACCTAGATTCTATATAAAGAGTACACCCTGTTTTAATTCTGAGTAGCGAAATGTTATCTTTTACTTAGGGTTTTCATGGAAATTACCCCGTGTTTCACTGCTTCAAGGTTCTTATACTTCAAACCTTATGATTGTTACGACTGAATATCTTTTTAAAATTCACAGGATTCTGGTGGTCTGACCCCTCAGCATAGTCGGTCTAACTCTTCAAATTGCGAAATGAGCACAGTGGGTGAGAATGATGATCCTTCTGAGACATCAAATGATGTCAAGTCCACCTTTGTTAAAGAGAATGCTGCTGCATCATCTGAGGTGGATTGCTCTACATCAAATGACAGTGGAAGCAATCATCCAAAGACAAGAGCTTCCTTTGGCGTTGAAAAGAATCCCGATGTTTCAATGCTTGTGTCCAAAATGAAGAATGCAAATATGTCCAACACATCTGATCCTGAGAATAAACATTTTCGAGAACAAAATCAGATGCATCGACAGCCAGACAATGTAGCCTCGATTCAAGGTGGTATAACGGGTTCCCATAGTGCAAATGACGTGATTGTTGGGAGTGGTCAGTTCCTTTACGGCCCCCCCTCTAAGTTCTCGGGTGACGGTCAACATACGCTGCAATCCTCGGGATTTACACCCCCACTTTATGCTACTGCCCCACCGGCTTATATTACACCAAATCCTGTCTATAACATGCACTCATCTGGCTTATACGCTCCTCAGTATGGTTTTGGGGCCTGCACTTTGACTCCAAATATATTCCCACAGGTTTTCCCCGGGTACCCTCCTCATGGCGCTGTCCCATTTGTTGTCGGTCCAAATTTCATTCCTCAATTATCTGGTGCACCCGTTATGGGAAATGTTGTGCATGGAGCCGAAATGCAGTATTCTGACAAGCTGTATGGCCCAGCAGGGCAATCTTCTTTCTTGGATCCTTTTTACATGAGATACTATCAACAGCCACTCGGACAGGCACAGGCCTACAGCATGCCTGGCCAGATGAACCTGCCGCCTCCTAGAGGCGTTGTTCCGGGGAGCCAGAAAAACGTTATTGAGCCTCAGAAGGATGAGCCAAATGTTGTTCGGCAAATAACTTCGCCAAGTGACCAGAACCTCGGTAAAACGGGATTGATGGGTCCTAGTAATTATGGAATACTGTCGAATACGGGCATTGTGGTGCATTATCCCCCTTCTCAGCTTAGCTCTCCAGTTTCTCCGGGTTCTGCTCAGTTTGTAAAGACTTATCCTGGATGGCAACCTCAGAGGGGCGTGGAAGGTGGCAATAGCCTACGATTGTCCAATTTTCTTGAAGAGCTGAAATCTGGGAATGGCAGGAGGTTTGAGTTATCTGATATTGCTGGACACATTGTGCAGTTCAGGCAAGTTTCTTTTTTTCCTTTTTGCAAGTCACTTTGTTGTGTCCCGTCATGGCGTCATATTTTACCAAAATAACTAAATCTTGTTCCTTGCAGTGCCGATCAACATGGGAGCCGATTCATTCAGCAAAAGCTTGAAAATTGTCGCCCGGAGGAAAAGGCAGCTGTTTTCAAGGAGGTTCTTCCTCACGCATGCAACCTAATGACTGATGTTTTCGGAAATTATGTCATTCAGAAGGTTTTCTTTCCTTGTCCGCCATCTCCGTAGATCCCTTTCGCAGTTAGGCACGTCAGATTATTTTCTTGGATTAACACTTTTGGTAATTCTGTGTCAGTTTTTCGAATATGGGAATGCAGTACAGAGAAAAGAACTTGCAGATCAACTCACAGGTCAGATATTGCCGTTAAGTCTGCAGATGTATGGTTGTCGTGTTATACAAAAGGTAACAAGAAGTCACTAGCTTTTGTCTGAATCAACTGATTCCGGTTCCTTATTCAATTCTCTTCTCAGTTTCCGTCATAAATTAGTTGGCTTTACTGATCGGCGATATTATTTTGGTCTTAGGCTCTTGATGTAATTGAGCCCGAGCAAAAAATTCGTTTGGTGCGTGAACTTGACGGGCACGTCATGAGATGCGTACGCGACCAAAACGGGAACCATGTGATCCAGAAATGCATTGAAAACATCCCAACAGCCAAAATCGGGTTTGTGATTTGCGCATTTCGTGGTCATGTTGCATCGCTCTCCATGCATCCTTACGGCTGTCGTGTCATACAGGTAATTTTCGAGTTTCGTTCTTACTCCTTTTTCTTTTATTGGTTTGCTCATTTATGGTAAAAAAATGACATGTTTCAACATTTTATTTCGTCTACTATAGAGGGTTCTCGAGCGCTGCACAGATGAGCATCACTGTCGGTTCATTATTGAGGAGATACTGGAATCGGTCTGTTCCCTTGCGAAGGACCAGTATGGCAATTACGTTACCCAGGTCTGTGAAAATTTAAAAAAATTTACGTATCCTCGCAATTGTGAAAAGCTGAGAGTGAGAGGTATCACTAACCGGGGTTTAAGTAAAACCCGAGAACTTGCAGGGCTGAGGTTTGAAACAGATAAATCCGAAAAATTAAACAGCCCGGACTAAAATTTTCGATTTCTGATCAAATACTTTTCCTCTCTGCAGCATGTTTTGGAGAGGGGAACGCCTCAAGAAAGAGAGAGCATGGTCAGAAAACTCTCGGGCCATATCGTGCAGCTTAGCCAGCATAAATTCGCGTCAAACGTTATCGAGAAATGTTTGGAATATGGCGGTGAAACTGAGCGTGACATCATCATCAAAGAGATTGCAGGCGAAGATGAGGGCTTCACTAATCTACTGGTGAGGGCATATATCCATATGCATGGACCTATATGACATATACATATCCCTATAAAGTTTCAACCTTTTTTTCTCTGTTTCTGTTTGGATTTACAGACTATGATGAAGGATCAGTATGGAAACTATGTGGTGCAAAAGATATTCGAGACTTGTAGCGACGATCAGAGAGCAATGCTGCTAAGCCGAGTCCGGATGCACGCTCCAGCTCTGAAGAAATACACTTATGGAAAGCATATCGTTACTCGTTTGGAGCAGCTCTTTGGCGAAGGTACGACGAGTTTTAGAAAATACACTTAGGAGAAAACTGAATCCGAATCGAAATCGTATCGAAAACCCACGTCAGATCTTTTGGGGATTTCGGCTTTTATCTCAGGGAATTTCGCAATCTGTAACTTGTTTTTGTTTTCCTTCAGAAAACAGGGGGATGAGCTGACTGGTGTGGGAGGAGCCTCTGTCGCCTGGAGATTCATTTGGGGGAAAGTTCTCAGATTCCGAATAATGAAAACTGAAATTGCTGTTTATGGTATAAGTTATTCGCATTGACACAGAAACACAAACCCATTGGAAAGATGTGAAATGTACATTTGGTCTGCTTACGTTATAACTTCATGTCTTAATCTGTGTGTGTGTGGTCTGATTTCTTTGATATGATTTTTATGGCAAGTTTTGAAATTTTAATCTGAAAAAAAAAATAGTAGGAAAGATGTTGAATTGGTGGGTTTATTTTTTTGTTTTTTGTTTTTAATTTTTTTTTGCTTTTTTGGGCACCCTGAGGTTAACAAAATTGCTATACGAATCAGTCCTTAATTTGGTATTTGCTGTCCTTTTTAGATATGAAAGACAAAAAAAAAGATCATCTAAGCATTTCCAAATTTGTAAAAAAAATGTCCAAAATAATTCGGATATTTCATACCAAAAAGGGTTCCGATACTTTTTCAAAGTGTTCATTTTAGTCTTGACATTTTGCGTCAAGGGGTGATGAAAATTTTCATTTTTATTTCGAATTTTGCTACCTATGATTTAAATTCGTTTTTAAAATATTTTTTCCTTCTAAAAACTTGCTTTTGCTTTTAAATTATTTTCACGAAATAATATACGTTACTACGACAAGTATGCAAAATCCCTACCCAATGGAGGGAGTACTGAAATCTATATTGCTATGAACGGCATCTGATTTTGGTTAATTTTTAGAAATTTGTAAGCGAATAGCAAATTGTTATATTAGAGAATTTAATGTACTAACTCGAATAACAGTAGATTTAATTTGAAGTTTGAAAATCCACAATCGAATAACAAATTTAACTTTACATTTAGATTATAGTATATTCACTAAATAAGTCTAGGTAAGACCATTACTATTATTATTGTTTTTTGTAGTAATGAATAATTAAATTCTACAGGCGGCAGAGTTAGAAGCATGCAATGAAATGAAACAAAGACAAAACAGAAGCAAAGGAAGAAGAAGATAGGCTTTGGTTAGAGCTTGAGACCAGAATGAATGGCGACAACTCCACCAACCAGGTTTTCATACTCCACCTTCTCAAACCCAGCTTCTGCTATCATCGACCCGAATTTCTCCTGCATCCATCATCATCATCATCATCATCATCATCATGAATGACCAGTGATCACAGATTCAAAAGGATGCTGAAGATGAACCAACAATGACTTTTTACAAGAACAAGATGCGCAGTTAATAACCTGAGGGGGAAACCGGCGAATACTCTCGACCAAGTACTGATAAGATTCCCTGTCACCGGCCACAAGTTCTCCTACGTTTGGTATGATTTGGAAAGAGTAAAAATCGTATCTGAAACACGAAAAAAAAGCAAATATTAGATGATCAAATAAACAAAAAAGTGTTGCATTTGATTCTTTAAAGCTCGGTATCGACTTACATATCTTTAAGAATCGGGATTTCTACGTGGCTGAGCTCAAGGCAGAGGAACCTTCCTCCTCGCTTTAGCACTCTAACCAAAAGTGAAAAAGTTTCATAAGATTAAGATAACATGAGTTCAATCAGATAGATTATTTCTCAACCCGATATAACCAAGACTCCAAAGTCAAGAAGAGGGTGGAAATAACGTATATCTTTTACCTATAGGCCTCGGAAAGAGCTTTCTCAATGTGAGTGACGTTCCTAATCCCAAACGCAATTGTGTATCCATCCATTGAATTGTCATCAAAACTCAAAGCTTCTGCATCACCTTCCACCCAGATGAGAGATTTGTTTTGTCCCAGACCTGTAGTGGAAAGAGCAGGATTCAACCAAGTTCATGCATGAAAACCGAAATAGGAAAAATAGAAAACCCGATGGAATCATAAACCGGTTTCAAATACCCAAATGGCTTAATGCCATAGACATAAATTACGAGACCCACGTTTATCTAACGATTTACCTCTCTCAGTAGCTCGTTGTTTCCCGACATCTAACATTTTGGGGTTAATGTCACATACATATATCTGAGTTTCTTCAAGTGAAGCCTCATCAATTTTCAGCAATTCTCTTCTTTTGACACTATTTACAGCATCAAAGATCCTGAAGGCAACATCCCCTGTGTATTCAAACAATCATTCACAAAGATCTAGATAAGATGCATAGACAATTCAACTATGAAACACATGTGGGCCTTTTCCTCTCCACATTTAACACCCACACGACAAAATATTACTTTTTGTTGTTCTACATAACTATCACTGGTTCTTTACAAAAATACTCAAAGAGATAAAAAGCTCCATCGGTAAAAAAGAAAGGGTGTCAATTTCTTTTCGGCGCAATTGAAAAAAAAATTTAATTACAATTATAGAAGCATGCATTGGTGAAATCAAATGCTGGCTAACCTGTTCCACCAGCCACATCAAGATGTTTCATCCCTGGAAATGGATTCAGCTTCCCGACGAGTCTGAAATCAATAAATTGAAATCAACAAAAATCCAGAATCTTAAAGAACAAACCATATAACATTATGGATACACGCACAGAGATACTTACCTATCCTTCCATAGCCTGTGCAGACCGCCGCTCATCAGATCATTCATCACGTCATAGCTTGAAGCGACACTAGTGAAGACATTACCAACTAACTTACTTTTCTCTTCTTCCCGTACTTCTTTAAACCCTAAAATCAAACAAAGAAGTGATACCAACACCGTGAATCAAGAAATACCCATCACCAAATTCAGCTTGTAACACACTTCATAAGTCAAAATGTGAAAATACGATGAAAGACCACATAGCATGAGTGAAGCACCCTTGATGAGCATCTCTGTTCCTCGAGCGCACACTTACTAGTGATTGTCGACTGTCGAGCATATAGCGATACATATATACATGCACATAACCAAACAACACAAACATTGGGAAGATAAGATTGAGGGAGATACCGAAGCTAGTGGCATGAGAATGAAGCAAAGCAACAGAAGATTGTCGAGCCATTAATCTGGTTCCAAACCTTCTGCTTACAGATCTGAGCGCCATAACTGCTATTGAAACTGCAGTTGTATAACCAAGCCTTGCTCCTACGACCAAAGTCACCAAACTCGAGGATTTCAACAATGAGACTGTAAAGACTAAGAGAAAGAGGAAAGGAGCAAGAGACAAAATCCAAAAGCAGTCAATCCCAAGTTAATAAACCGAAACCGAAGCAATGGGCTAACTCACCCAATTCAAGCTTTCTATCTAAGCAATGATGAAAACAGAAAACAACGAAAACATTAATTTGACACAGAAATATTAACTTAACAGGACTTCAGAACTACTTCAAAGTTATCCCCAATTTCATTCGAGTCAGATGAACGACCAAAACACAGAATCTATAGCCTTGGATTTGTAAACCAACAAGGCAGATAAAGAAACATGTTAGAAAATCAAATTTTCAAATGAAACAGAACACCGCACGTACTGTTCGACAGATAGAATACTGTATGAATTACTTGGAAACAGACATACACACTAGTTATTAGATGGAGAGAGCAAAATTCCATGAAAATGGATCATATCCCGTCAGATCGTCGGATAAAAGTCAACAGAAACTGGGATTTCTTAAATGCTTTGTACCCAGAGAAAAGAAAAAACCTTTTAGCATTTGACTACATACCCACAAACTCATTACGAGTAATTAGTCAACATGATTGATCCATAATGCTATCAAAGAATGGGTCTACGTCATTCACCCAGTTCATCAAAAACCCTAACCATAATTTCTTCGTTCAAACAACAATTCCCTTTGCAGACAAACTCTAGAGGCGAATTTGATCAAACAAGGTCGTGAGAGTGAGGGAAGATACCTGTGTTGAAGTTTCTAGAAGAAAGAGTGTGCGATTTCAGGATTAACAAAAAATCGAAAACCCATCTCGAAATGTCAACCAAATCAACAAGAAAAGTATGCTCCAACCTCGAATCATAGGCGAGGAACATTATGAAACCGCTCAACGAGTCAAGCAAACTTTACAACGCTACAACGAGCTTCAGGACATTATAGCTATCCTGGGGTTGGACGAATTATCCGAATAGGATCGCTTAACCGTAGCAAGAGCACGAAACCTATAGGAAAAACGCATGCATAGACAGAGAAAGACAGAGATCACCTTCTCTTTCAGTTAGACGGCATGAAACGAGGAATTGAAGCCCAAACCCCTAGAAATCCAGAAACGTCGTTGAGCGAAGAAAAGCCCCGTGGGGAAATCGCCGCTGAATTCAATGGAGAAGAGAGATGGAATGGCAGACCGGGGAAGAGAGAGGTGAGATTTTGGGGGGTTTTCTGTAATTTTTAAGGTTTTTAGGGTTATTTGTGTACTTTAACATGCGCCTCCGACACGTCCCATATGACTTTTACACAACTTTTTAGGCATACTTGCAAATCCATAAATAACCAAAATAAAATAAAAACTATATAAAATGGCCTCCGAATTTATTTCATCGCTCGCTTTGACGGCTCAAGTCTGAAAGAAAACCACGGCAGAAGCAAAAAAAGCTCAAAGAAGATCACAGATTCTTGAAAGCAGATTCATGGGCATCCTTAGAAGGCGTCAGCCTGGCCAGCAATGCCTTGTTGTGGCAACGGTCCGCGTCCACATAGTAGTATCTTCCGTTAGCCTTGAAGGTAACGAAGGGTCGGTTGGTATTGGGAGGGCGGATATCGGCAAACTTGAGGGTCGTGGGAGCGTAAGTCGCCAGCCACGTCATCATCTCAACCTCAAAGGAATCAGAGCCCGGCTGCCACCTCAGCTTGTGGACGTAAGGGCTGACGAACCAGTGGAGAGCAGCCGTGGTGGAAGCGCTTAAGAAAATGACGGTAGATGCAACCGCTCCTTTCAGGATCACGTTCATCTCGGGGGACGTCATGAAGGTCACGACAGGTCCTAGCGAGACCGAGAGACAGCACGTCGAGAGGGAGAGCATCTTCACTTTCTTGATGGTGGATGAGATCGGACCGTGGTAAACGACACCCGAGTCTTTCTCCCCATCTTCCTTTGTGGGTTCGGTTCTGCGTGGTCCGATGCTGATCTTGCTGTCATCTTCTCTTGACGTTGCTTGAGATGCCCGCCTTTGCTGAGTGGCGTTAAGCAAAGGAAAAGACAAAACTTTGGGTGTTATGTTTCGGGTTTCTGACCATGCCCCTGTTATTGAACGATGATACCCTGAAATCCAGTAGATGAATCAGTAACAGAAGATGTATCCATGGAAGCATGAAAGTGAAGTTTAAGTAAGTATACATGACAAGCATGTATTTGCAATAAGAAATCTTAAACCAAGGAGACGCACACAGAATCCACAAAGAAGAACGAGATATTTACTTCAACTGGTTGGGATAAGTAATCTCAGAAACCGAAATCCAAGAGAATCCAAGAAGCTCATGCCCATTTGAGAACTTACAATTTTGAGAGGTATATTTCCACCAGTCCCATAAATCTAATCAGTCCGACCAGCAAGTTTCAGAAGATAGAATAAGACAAGAAGGCATATCGTATTAAAGATACAACCATCAAGATTCAGCAAGCAAACACCCACTCATCTTATGATTGTGCCCATTAAAGAAGCAACCGAACTCAAGAAAACCATGCTCGACCCAGCGCTGATAGTTTGGATGATGGAATTCAAATGGAACAAGAAGGCATTGCATTGAAGAAAAACCAGCGCCATGAACGAGCTTCACGCAGAAAACAAACAAACTAAACCAACAAGTTCATAGCACATAATTGTCAAACAGTTCGAACCTCATTCAAAAGTTATGGCACTTGCCATTTCCATAAGTACCTCTTCTGCACCAAAAACAACGAGAATCCAAGAAGGTTTGACTCAAGTCGTCAAGAGTAAATTATTAAAGGGATTCATAATTGCATAACCCCAAGCAAAGCCCTTATGCCCATGTACCATCATCTCACCAGCGCGATCTGAGTGAAGATCTATGGCGAATAACGTTCCTTTTCTAAATTTAAATTCCATGAAAATGGATCATATCCCGTCAGATCGTCGGATAAAAGTCAACAGAAACTGGGATTTCTTAAATGCTTTGTACCCAGAGAAAAGAAAAAACCTTTTAGCATTTGACTACATACCCACAAACTCATTACGAGTAATTAGTCAACATGATTGATCCATAATGCTATCAAAGAATGGGTCTACGTCATTCACCCAGTTCATCAAAAACCCTAACCATAATTTCTTCGTTCAAACAACAATTCCCTTTGCAGACAAACTCTAGAGGCGAATTTGATCAAACAAGGTCGTGAGAGTGAGGGAAGATACCTGTGTTGAAGTTTCTAGAAGAAAGATGCGGAGAATGGGACCGAAGCAAGCGAAGGAGAATTGATCTCGCCATTATCTCTGTTACCACTTCTCCATAGACGAAAGTGAGAACATATAGGGTTTTGTATTTGTATCTATAAGTTATTTATATGAACAGAGGAAATATCAAAGGGCATTTGGTCTAGTGGTATGATTCTCGCTTAGGGTGCGAGAGGTCCCGAGTTCAATTCTCGGAATGCCCCCCAAAATTTTTTCTGTACTTTCTGGAGGACTGCTTGCCGTTTTCCATCCCCAAAACGACACGTAATCCACCAGATCCACCGCCTTTGAAGCAATAAAGAAACGACACGTAGTTCACCATCTCCATCGTCTCCGTCCAGTTGACGACCGCCGTTGTTCTCCTCACTCTCTCCGACCCAGACGATCATGGTGATTAATATTCGCTTTTATCGATAATTACCTCTCTGATTTAGACGTTTTATAGTGTTAATTTATTCACCCCTCCCTTAACCCGCTGTTATAGTATTGCAAACTTACAGCCGTTGTCTGAGATTTTCCCCTTTTTTTTGGGGGGGTTTTTAACGTTTTGTTTTTTGGGTTCTCAGAACGAAGTAATGGCTGCTTCATTACCAAATTCTGGTGATGTTCATGGTGGAGTTTGCCAGGTTAGTCCCGAAGAAGCCGAGTCTATCAAGCATCGTGTCGACGAGATTCTCCAGCGAGTTGACACGGTAAGATTCGGTGATAAGAATTTGAGTTGAGAATTTCCCGGAGATTGATTGCGGTTTTCCAAATTCGTTACTCCGAGAAGTTGAAATTTGGTATTCGGTTGTTAGGATTTGTTTTCCCTCGATTATGGTGCCAATTGAAGTTTTGGTATTCACTCATTATTCTGGAATTTTGTCGCTGAACGATGAAATTTACTTATTTCATCGTTAAGGTTTTGTGAACTCCCATGTCAATCACTTGCCTTGTTGGTTAAGCTATTAATGTATCAAGTATTATTCAGTCAAATCTCTTTCTGCAAATTCGGAGAAAATTCTTCTGCTAATTTATAGTTACCGGTATGAGATTCGTCACAGTCAAAGTCGAATTTTTTCGGGTGTTTCCTTTACAAGCATATGCATACTGTTGAAATAGCAGAATAGTAATGTATTTTTTGTCTCACTGATGTTCATTTGAATTGCCTAGTATAGTGATAAATGTAGTAAATGTTAATAGGGTATGGTTCTATATGCAGCTTGAGCAGAAACTGCAAGAAGTCGAGCAGTTTTACTCGAGTGTAGGCGAAACTGTTAACCAGTTGAACCTCTCTAGCCCGAGCACTGCCGGTAAAGACAAAGAAAAAGGGAGGCATGTGCTCGGGGTTAGGAAGCTGCAGCAAGAGGCGGCTCGTCGAGAAGCTGTAGCTGCAAAGAGAATGCAAGACCTCATGCGTCAGTTTGGAACAATTTTCCGTCAGGTTTGTGTTTACTTTACAGATAACGCAGATTTGAGTTTTTGTGATTCAGATTTGTTTTTACTTTACAGATAACGCAGCACAAGTGGGCATGGCCATTTATGCATCCCGTCGATGTGGAAGGTCTTGGCCTGCATGATTATTATGAGGTGATATTGCCATCTCTCTCAGTTCCCCGTTTTTTTGTGAACCATACATAAAATGTTCATCTTTGATCTCTTCTATTTTCGAAACTTATGGTGTGAGGAGTATATTGATTTCTAGTACTAAGACTGATCTTAGATACTTGCAGGCCCCTAGATTTTATTACAAATTGTTTACCTTCATCATGTGTATACACTGACTTCATTCGAGAGCTGAAATGAAATTCAAACACTTTAACAGGGCTAGACCCTGGATGAGACTTTGTATCATGGGTGATGGTAATGTATGGAAAAATATGGCGAAATGCATGCATTTTTCCATGAAAATGTTTGAGAAATTTGTTGCTAGTCTGTTGTCACCCAAACTGTTCGGGATTATGTTTGTTCTGATAATGTTGTTTTATGTTTGCAGATTATTGATAAGCCCATGGATTTCAGTACAATAAAGAATCAAATGGAGGCGAAGGATGGTACAGGATACAAACACGTTATGCAAATATATACCGATATGAAGCTAGTTTTTGAGAACGCGATGAAATATAACGAGGAAAAAAGCGATGTTTATTCTATGGCGAAAACATTACTCGAAAAGTTCGAGGAGAAATGGGCACAATTCCTTCCAAAGGTTAAAGAAGAGGTAAATAATTATATCCTCTTCAGTATTCTGCATAAATCGAGTTAAAACCGACACTCTTTAAGTGTTGAAGCTTTCTTCTTTTACTTAGTAGTGGAATGGATGACAGGAGAAAAGACGGGAGGAGGATAAGAACCAAGCCGAGTTGGAGATGCAGCTAGCAAAAGAGGCATCTCATGCTAAGATAACTAGAGAAATAAACAACGAGGTATTTGATACTCGTACTGGTACCTTGAAATCTTGTACACATGTTAATTGGTCATAGTATGGACCTCAGATCTGCGATGTTGACGCTGAGTTGGAGGAGCTCCGGAGTATGGTTGTCCAAAAATGCAGGTTGGCTTATTTGCTTCACAGAGTTGTAAAGATGCTTTGTTTTTCTTTCTCTCAAGTAAACTATGCTTCTATGCTTAGTTGAGAATCCCCTTTCCGGGTCGGTTTTGGACCAAACAGGGATGGGCACATGTCGGATACCCGAAATATCTAGGATACTTGGTTCCATGTTTGATGACCTTGGACATCACAATTTGATACTCGTACTGGTACCTGAGAGTCTGGGTACCCGGACTACGGTATTTGACAAAATGTTTGGTTATTCATGGGTGTCTGGATCCAAAAATTATTTAAAAAACGCATAATGCAAGTTATACAGCCAATAGAAAATTCAGGTATTTGGACATGTTTCCGGAGGCAAAAGGATAAAAATACTAATTAACAGGGGTATACCAGTCACCGGTTTTTAATTACTCGTACTCCTATCCGTTGGATGTGTAATGAAAAAGACCTTCCTGTACTTGTGAAAGGTTGGGTACCCGGAAATCTGTTTTCCATGGGTTGGTACCTGCGGGTACCCGATTTTTTTCGGGTATTTTTGCCCTTCCATAGGACCACATTAGAACTCAAGGATTCAGATGTTTCATTTTGTATGTTGCACTTGTTTACATTGATTGATTGATGGACTGTTTCAGGAAAATATCAATCGAAGAGAGGAGAGATATCGGATTGTCGATGCCGAAACTATCTCCGGATAATCTTCTGAAAGCGCTGGACATACTAGCTCAGGGTAACCCGAGCTTCCAAACAACAGAAGCGGTGGTGAATGTCGAGATGGACACATTGGTAAAGATCTGCCGAAATAAAAACTGTCTGGATTCTTTCGTTTCGGTTCAACCTTCCTCGGTACACCTCATTCTTTGCAGGACGAACCGACCCTTTGGAGGCTAAAGATCTTTGTGAAGGATGCATTGGAAGATCAGAAGAAGAAGACGAGCATTGGAGTAGATCACAGAAGCAAAGATATCGAGAGAGGGATAAGGACGAAGAACGAGAAATGCAAAGGAGGCGGCAATAAGCGGAAGAGAGGAGAATTGTAGCGGGAAAATTCCCCGAGGAAATCGGGTTTTCGGGGGGGCAATGGCCAAGAGAGTTGCAGAAGCAAAATCTCCATGGTTGTTTTCCATTTCTCGTAGATTCACTTCAGAGTTTCCCCGTTAGTTTTTTGTTAGCGTATGACCGAAGTGTATAGTGGAAATGAGTAGTTAGCAGCCTCCTTCAAGAGAATGTTGCCGAAAAAGGAAATTTTCCTACTGATAATAAAATATATTTGCAATGCCTTAAGGCCAGTCATTTCGATTTATTATTGGACCAAAACAAAATTGCATATATTATTTATAAATTTTATTGGTATGATTTTTTTATTAATTTGAAAATAAAATAATCGAAAAAATAAAAAAATGTTTTATAAAGATAATTATTTCTTTTAATAAAAACTCGAATATAATGCTAATGAAATCACTAAATAAATAAAACAAACCCAAAATAACACTTCATTCGGTTTATTCAAACCCGGTTGTTTTCGGTTGCAGATTTAAATTCTGTTATTTTGGATTTTGAAATTTTAATTTTAATCATTTCGGTTCAATTAGTTCGATTTTTTAATAACCAAATTGTTTGCCCATACTGGTTAGATGTATTAACAGAATTATAAAAATTAAAAAAGCTTTTTAAAATTATGTTTAGGTAATCATATGTTTAAGAGCTTATAATAATTGTGTGTGTTAGAGGTGGTCATTCCTAGTTTCGGTTTGGGTTCAGATTCGATTTTTTTTTGTAAAAAATTCATTTTTTTTCAAAAAAATTATCGATTTTTTTGGTTATTTTTTTTTAATCGGTTCGGTTTCGATTTTTTCGAGTTTAGAGAAAGTATAACTGTTCGGTTTTTATATGAGGTTCGATTCAATTATTGTTATATCTTATTTGGTTCGATTTGGTTTGATTTGTTTATTGGGTTAATAACCGAAATGACCACCTCTGTCTAGGGGTGGACATGGGTCGGCTACCCTCAATTTTTAAAAAACCCTGTTTCATCTTCATTACCACGGATTTTACAAAAATATTATCTCAGTCTTGGCTTTATAAAATCTAGGTATTTGTAGTTCGGGTTTAATGAGATTCTCGGTCTTGTACTCGCGGATACCGGACCCATACGATTTATAAAATTTTGAACTATAAAATGATAAATATAAAAAATACAAATGAGAGAGGTCAAAGTATAAAGAGAAAATTCATGATGAAGAGAGATGAGTAAAATTTTGATAGAGAGATGAATAGTTGATTCAGTTACATAGAATGAGATTTGGAATGGTGAAATTTTTGTATAGAAAGGTTTAGAACATAAAAAAATTGAACTAAAATAAAAGTATTTTAATAAATAATAAGAATAATTTAGACAAAAATATTATAGATATAAAGTATATTTTAGATTTTTAACAAATATACCGATACCCTGTATATCTCTTGTAAAATAATTGAACCCTACCCGGATTTAGGGTCGAAAACTTAGTTTGTTTATACTCCAATCTCATGATCATTAATATTGGGTACCCTTATTCGATACTTGTTAAGCCGATAGCTCCAAACCCCGGGTGACGGGTTAAAACGCCCACCCCTACGGCTCTGTCATCCTGCGTCTCTGCGGACGTTAGATGTTTCCTCCGTTTCATTCGTCTCTCTCTCCCCCGAATATGGAAGAATCCAAGCCTCGTAAGCTCTCGAGCAACAACAATGGTGGTCACCACAGCCAGAACCAGAACCATGATTATCTCCTCGACACGAACCTCGCTGAGAGAGCAATGTGGCTCATGAAATGCCCTTCTATCGTCGCTCGCTCCCTCCAGTTTTCCCCATCTTACCCCGACGATCCTTCTCGTCCCATCGCCAAAGTCATCCTCTCTATCGATCCTCTGGTCTCTGATGAAGACGACGGCGGCAACAATGACTCTTCGACTCAAGTATCGTTCAACATTTCCCGTCGGTTTTCTATTTTTTTTTGCGATTTCTTTTTCGTGGTTTGGAGAGATCTTCGTTTACCTTTGATCCGTTCTCTTCGCATAGTTTCATGGTTTCTAGCGATTTTTCTCTACATTTCTCGTTTGGGAGGCTTAGGTTGTGTTTGTATCGTTTCTCTGCATGCGTCTGTAGTTTCTTGAATTCTGTTGATGAATCGCATATGTTCCTTTTGGCTTATCAGATTCTCTCTTTCTGCGATCCTTTAGGGTTTTTTAATCTCTTCGTATGAAATCTATCTCATTCTCAGTTTTATCATTTCTCTGAGAAACTTTTTCTGGGTTCCACAGTTTTTTGAAGTTTTGCTTTGATCAGTGTGAATCATGTCACAAGTCTCATCATCTGCATTTGGCATTTCGATCGAAACCTAGAAGATAACACAAAATTCTACGTTTTGTAATTTGGGCTTGTCGTTAACTGCTTAGTAGATGAAGTGTTCTATGTTGTCCTGATGTTTGATCCAATTTACAAATTCCCAGTGTTTAGTTTCCTTAAAAGAACCAAACAAACTAGTAAACATCTTTTCCTTATATGCTCAGAGAATTTTTTGATGTGGGCTTTCTTCAAAGTCTTTCTTGCTCATCACTTTGGACTTGTGATCAATGTCCACTATAACTGTCACAATCTGTGCTTTGGTGGGCTTCTCAGTTTACAATGGAATTGGCTCGTGCTGAATCAGGAAACATGCCAAAGCGATATATTCTGGATATGTCGAAAGATTTTATCCCTATGTCGGTGTTTTGTGAGTCTTCAGAGGGTGAGTAAGGAGTCTCAAGTTGCACATTTTTATGGCGACTGCCACTTTTTGTGATACTTGCATGGTTGGTTGATTGTATCCATGAGAAACTCGAACTAAGAACACGATCCATGGAGGTTTTCTCCACTTTAAATAAAGCTACTGATTCTTTCATTACATGGATTTTGAGGTTCCTGGGTCAGAAATAGATGTTTTGCTGAACAATGCACTCGCATTTTTATGTGTTCGCTGTTATACTTTATGACACTGGATCATTAGGTTTGATTTAATTCATTGGTTGGTGAAAATCCATGAGACGTTTGCATTTTTTGTGATGGAAAATTGATCAGATTTTGTTGTCAACTGGGTTGACTGTGGAAAAATGTTCTTCGAAATGTAGGGAAGGTGTCTGTTGAAGGGAAGATCTTACACAAATTTGACATGAGGCTTCATAATGACAACATCGAGAGCTATGGTAAACTCTGCCGAGAAAGGGCAAACAAGTATATGTGCAGAAATAGACAGATACAGGTTGCTATGACGAATAATCGGGTGATATCATTATATGTAATCCGCATTTTCTGTAATCAAATATCTGTTTTCTTTCCCAGGTCATTGATGATGCTACTGGAATGCATATGAGGCCTATGCCGGGAATGATCATTCCAACCGGAAATCCTGTATTTATCTCCATTTTCCTTATCGTATGAAAACACGTTGGCTAAGTTGTCAGATATTTCTGGAATTTACTCCCGCGGAACTCCTTACTTTGTATTAGGAAAAGAAGAAAGTGCCAAACAGGACATCGGAAATGAAAAGAACAAGAAGGGACCGGAGAGAGATGGAAGAGATCATGTTCAAGCTATTTGAAAGACAATCAAATTGGACTCTGAGACAGCTTATTCAAGAAACAGACCAACCAGAGGTAAATACGAAAAACATAATAATAGGAAGTATGATATATTGGCTGGTTCTCTGCTTCTTCAAATGTTCTTGGCAAGTTTGGTATATATGTGGACAGACTAGAGTACTAGAGAGATTCAAAGGCCGGGCATATCATGTGGGCAAGACATGGAAAAACTTTCCATGTGATATGACTTATGTTCATGCTCAATATGCTAGTAAAACTGAGCTGCTTACTGAAATGTCAGATAATGTTGAAACTCGTGGACTGTCGATTTGTGTTATACATATCAGGATATGTGATGAAATTGTCATACACCCTCTTTTCCGTTTGTTCGGAATAGGCGGAAAAGCTTAATCCTTTCCTTTTTTTGTTTCGGGTAATCGTGCTTCGATTTCGGGGTGTAGCAATTTCTGAAAGACTTGCTAAGAGACCTATGCATGTACAACAACAAAGGAAGCAACCAAGGATCTTATGAGCTGAAGCCTGAGTACAAGAAGACCACAGAGGATCAAACCAATAAATAGGCTTCACAAGAAGAAGAAGAAGAAGAAGAAGAAGAAGAAGAAATGGTTATGGAGAACGTGATAATAAGCTTGTGATGTTGCAACATCATCTTTAGCTTTGGTGTCTCTAAGGTTTAGTTACTTCCAATTTAAATTCTTCTACACTGTTTTCTGCAATGAACTTCGATTGCCAACCTAGTGAAATTGTGTAAAAATTAAAATCGAAAAGCAGAGGAAATGTTGTTCAAATAAAATAATCTCTTGACTATATAATATTTTATAAAATGATATTTATATCGATAAAAATGGTTTTTGTAGTGTTTAAAAAAATATATTTTTTTATAATATTTTGAACCTCAAGTTTTTTTTATAAACATGATATTCCTATTACAAATTTACAGTGCAAGTGTAATATTTGTTTTAGTATTTTTTCATAGATTATTTAAAGGTAAGGTTTTTATTATGGAAGAGGAAGACTAAATTTAGGGGCTTTAAGAGAACGGTGGTGGTGATTATGTCCTCCACCTCTCTTCCGCCGTCGCCGCAATGTATCGGCGTGCGGTGGCCGGAATTCAACGATGGCTTGACCTACAAAGACGGCGTCTCACCCTCCGACTCCGGTTTTTGTTTCTTCTCCCTCCATTATTTGCTCTGGAAGAGTTATAACGAGAGTGAATTTTTTTTTTACGATTTTTTTTTTCTTTTGCTTTTGTTGGGTTTTGCCCTTTTTGGCAGAGGCGACGGTGTTGGAGTTCTACTCCACTAAGTACAGGAACTCAGCACCATTGCAAGGGTTGTATATTCTTCCTCCATAGATCTTCATCTTCTTGGCTCTGTCATCTTTCATTTACTTTTGTTGATGTTTCATTCGTTTGGTAATGGAGCAGTTGGATTCAACGAATACAAAATGGACAGGTGACTTACACGTAACCTTAAGATTTTTTTTTTTTTTTGGGGGGAGGGGTGAGATCAAATTTCACTGGTTTCAGAACTTGTTGAGAGTTTCCGACATGAATTTCGAAATGGGTTTACTAATCTTTCGGGTTGCAGATAAAGATCGATGGAGAAGTTGTAAGAGATCCAAATGCGATTCTTAGGTTTTTCTTGCAACTTCGTTCTCTTAGTATTGCATTTGGAAATTATTTTACTTGTGTAAAGCTGTATTTTTTGTCCTGTTCTTTTGCAGGAGCGGTTCAAA